AAGAAGCTGGACTGTTCAAATGACGCAACTTCCGGTTCAAGGGTCAAACGGCGCCGTAGTCCAATCAGCAATGTCTCATGTTTCCCAATGGTACCTACCTTTTCCGGTAGGTTAATGTAGTTGTGTTTTCCTTAATGTAGTTGCGCTTTGCTTTATGTAGTTGCGATTTCCTTAATGTAGTTGCGCTTTGCTTTATGTAGTTGCGATTTCCTTAATGTAGTTACGCTTTTAGATTTTTAGTTGCAGTTTGCACTTCAGAGCCACCGTACCAAAAGCTTTCCTTAAAAAAAAAATCTTTTAAGCCTTCTTTTAAAACCCTCAGTGGATTGAGGGGCCCTCAAGGTGGCAGGGAGGGCATTCCACAGATGTGGGGCAGCAGAACAAAATGCCCTAACTCCCATTGTCCTAAGTCTGGTTCTGGGAATGTGGAGGAGGTTTGAATGAGTGGAGCGAAGGGAGCAGGTTGTGTTCTGTGGGTTGATAAGTTCTTTGAGGTAGGGGGGGCATGTGCATAGATGCATTGATGTGTGAGGAGGGAAACCTTGTATTCAATCCTGGTGGAGATGGGAAGCCAGTGTAATGAATGGAGAATGGGGGTAATGTGCTCATGTTTCCGCACTCTCATCAGGATCCTAGCTGCAGAGTTTTAAATGTACGGTACTGAAGCCTCTGCAGACTCTTTCTAGTGAACCCAATGAGAAGTGCATTTAGTTTATCACACTCTGTCTCCTTTTCTCAGAGTGTATATAGCCTTATACTGAAATGTCTTTGGAATAAGGAGAAATCCAGGCTGCCCCATCAGATTTTGCAGAAGCCAAAATCACCGGGTGGAATTGCACTACTCAACATTTTGCTTTATTATTGGGCAACAAATAATAGAACAACAAATATGAATTACTAGATTCAATATAAAGAGATCAAGCCCCCTCCATCATGATTAAAAGTGAAGGCAAACTCAACCAATTATTAACAAACTTTATTGCATTTACCACTTCACTCCTCTACTTCCAGCTACATGATTGTAGTGTCTTTCTATCAGAACACAATTTTAAGCAATTCCTTTTTTTCCCTCCATCTTTAATAAATAATACCCTTTCTTTCTATGCCAATCATTTTTTGCATCCTAAAACATTAGGTCGACAAGTGCTTACTTCTTAAAACAGTTTATTTCGATATCTTTAAGTTTGCATCTTTGTTCAATATTCATTTACAGTTTTCCCATCCTTCCTGTGGTTTCAACTTATCTTTTTAGAACCCAATAGTTTACTGAAGGGGGTGATCTCTACTATTTATTTAAATATTTAATCAGACTGACCCTGTCTGATTATGGAACTAAGTTTTAAGTTTTAGAAGATTGGAATCCTCTTTATCCTATGTTTAAGGCATAGCATGTCATATTCCTGTGGACTTTCTGGAGAGGCTATATCCCAGTAGGAGTTAGGTTTTTATATTCATTCTGAACTACATTAGCAATATAGGCAATGGTAACTAACGCTTGACAAATTGTTCCATTTGCAATGTAATCACAATTTGAAATAAAATGCAATTACTTATAAACAGAATTACACAGCTTTTGATGATGTAACAGTGGTAGGCAACATCGGCACTAGGGAGCCACTGACCTGCAGATTTAGCATGCATCTCTTCTTGTGCAGAACGCTGCTGCCCGGTTTTTAACCAGCACGTCCAGAAGTGAACAAATTACCCCTGAGCTGTCGTCACTCCACTGGCTTCCACTCCGTTTCAGAATTGATTTTAAACTTCTGCTGTTTGTTTTTAACACCATTCATGGCTTGGCCCCCTCTTACTTGTCTGAGATTTTAACGTTTCACAATTGTGGCAGAGCTTGGCGCTCATTGGGTCAGCTTCTGTTAGAGGTCCCTAGGTCAAGACTCAAACAGTGGGGCGATCGTTCTTTTGTCGTCGCTGCTCCCAGGCTGTGGAACAAACTACCCCCTGACATCCGCACCACTACTGGCCACAGCCTTTTTTAAAAAAAAAGCTTAAGACCCATTTTTTTCTAAATTAGCATTTAATTCTAACTAGGGTAATACTGTCTCTTAGGTGTCCTCCTTCTGTCTGCTCGTTTCTGTGCACTTCTGGAAGGCTTTTAATGGCCTGCAGCGCTGCACCACTACAGCACTTTTAATTGTATCTGTATGTGTTATGTATTGTTTTATGGCTTTGTTGGAAAGCACTTCGGGTACCATTTGGCTATTGTAAAGGGATTTACAAATAAACTTGATTGAACTTGATCGATCTCTTCTTCATCATACCTGAAACAAATGAATGGCTAATTGCTAGGTCTCTGTTAAACCCACCAACATGCATATGAGGTAATTTTGCCTTTTGTTTTATGCATATTGAAACAGGGGTGCATGCAAAACTTAAGGACAGTGGCACTCAAGGACTGGCGTTGCCTACCCCTGATCTATCATTTAACAAGAGATCATCATTCTGCTTCATTCTCTCTCTATTCTCCTATTCTGCAGAATCTTTTAGTTCATTCTCTAACGTTCTGCTCTCTATACTTTTTCTCATAGTAGCTTTGCCTCGTCTGTTCCTGTTTGGCAGTGACACCATCCTGGAGAGAAATATCAGCTGTGCTGCTGCCATCAACACCCTTGTTTATAGATGTTGGAGATTGGCCTGTTTTCCAGTGTAGTCCTGTTTTTCTGACCGTGACTGGCTGGATGTGCTCTCTTCACCCTCAGACATGGGAGTTGGTTCGGTGCTTGTCTGCCTGGCTGTGTGTTTTCCTGGACTGGGCCACCTTTTACAGCTGCTTTTTGTATCTCTGCTTCTGTCTCCCTGAACCCCAGTCGGCCTTGGCAGATGGCCGCTCACCCTGAGCCTGGTTCTGCAGGAGGTTTCTTCCTTTTAAAAGGGAGTTTTTCCTCTCCACTGTTGCTACAAGCATGCTTAGTGTGAGGGATTGTATTTGAGTCAATGCAATTAACTGGTTTTCCTTAGATAGAAAACTTTGAATCAATGAATGTATGATCTGGTTGAACTGTAAAGTGTCTTGAGATGACTTGTGTTGTGAATTGGCGCTATATAAATAAACTGAATTGAATTGAAAATTTTTAAACCAACAATAACATAAAAAACTATTAAAAAAAATAGTGAAACTGCTGCTTTTTAAGCTGTATTTTCTGAGCTGTATCAGTATCGCATTCATGCGATACTGATACCCGATACCTGCCTTTGCCGTATCGGCCGATACCGATACTATACCTGTACCTCTGTTTGAAATTGATGTGTGTATATATGAAGAACTGCATACTACTTGGATGTAAAATAATTGCCATCATGGCTTTGTCAAGCTGCTGCCTACCTTTGTGAAGCAGGATATACAAAGTATATCCAGTAAAACTTTATTGCCTACCTGGAATGGGTGACAATAGTTGAATAAACTTTTGGCTCAAAATGGTATCGGTGCCCTATTTGTTTGTACTCACCGATACTGATACCAGCATTTTAGTGCTGCTTTATCATGT